ACAATAACATGTGTGGTGATTTAAAGCTTCAGATCATCTGAATTCTTCTTTTTAATCATGAAACTGTTCAGATCTGTTGATCAAACATTCAGTGTGAGAGCTTCTTTACTGTAAATGTGTGTTTACATTGATTAATACATCCAGAAAAGAGGATTCCAGTTCCTGGTTTCAAACCAGCTTTGTGGCATCACTTCACCGTGAAGCTCGTATCAAAGCTTATATTAGAGCTTCACACTTTTCAAACCTATTTAAAGAAAAGTAGTCACTGTGTATGATCATTGAAACAGGGTTTTCATGCTGTGATCATTTCCTCCATCACCTTCCTAATTTGTTTTTATAATAAGTTATGATGAAAATAGTGAACGTGAAGCTGCAGCATTTTAATATGAAGTGAGTTTGTTCCACAGAGAAATGTCTCCATTTGTCTTACTGTCTCCTTCCCTGCCGCTCAGCAGGGAAACACACAGAGTTTTCTACTGAAAATACTTCTACAATGGAGGATATTTGATTAACTTACATGTTACCTCATAATATGTAAACTAAAAGATGTTATCCTCTATGACTTCCTTAGGGAAAAATAAACTAGTATCCAACACGAACAGGAGGAAGGATTGCAGTGTGTTGGTGCTCATATTGAATGACAACTGAAAAACTGCGAGACTTCTCCTTTAGCTGTAACTGAACTGTATTCAGAGTAGAACTGGTCAGTGTCATTTGCTTTAATACTTTGAACAGCATGTGTTTGCTGTAGTCCCGAGGTCTAAACCCCCGGTTCTGTTCAAGCTCCGTTCTGCTCCAGGTTTTCTGACTTTTTATACTTCAACTCATGATGTCTGCTGATACTGAGCACTCACACCATCCCAGTGGCCTAATTTTGTCTTTTGAATAAGAGCCAGCTGTTTTCCCCTTCATAAGCTAACCAGCTGCTAGTCCTAGCTTCATATTTTCCATACAGACATGACATCTATGATCAAAATAAATGTCCTGCACTTCGCTGTCTTCCTAAGAACTGATTCAACAGCCTGCTGTGACTGACAATGTGGAGTTTGCAAACGTTGACCAAGAAATTGCTTGTATGTGGATTTATCATCATCACAATAAGGAGGGGAGGTCTGTGTGTCACACTTTAGCCCAACAAGAAAGGAAAAGGTTGAGTAATTGAACAGATTTATTTTTATCCATCATGTGACCCTCAGAACTATCATGGGACCCTTAGATGGGTTGTGACCCCTAGGTTGGAAACCAGTGTATTATTGTGGGTCAGTTTGGGGGAAGACCCCTCCCTGGTTGAACATGACAGGACCCTGTGAACAAAAAAACAACTGAATGGAGCAAATCCCTTCAGCCAGGTTAACAAAGGAATGTCAGCATTTTACTGCCTGTGGTTTAGAGGGAGGTGTTCAGCAACACTGGGCTACTCACTGACTGTACATTACAAATAGATTTTTTTTTTAAGCATCAAACAGCGCTGAGCCGTTATGCAAATCTAAAATGATCAAAATAAAACAAATTGTGGTTAACAAGATAGAAAACAAATGTGGCCAGGAGGAAAATATCTTTCATTTGTTCTCTTTCGGACATTTTTCACGTCCCTTCTTCTTCATGGTATTGACGTGCTGTCATCTCATTTCCAGCTCTTTGACCCGTTCCAGGATTTGTTAATAATCATGACTTGATGACTGTCTGTCCCTGTAGACGTCCTGTCCTCTGTGTTTACGTAACCAGTACAGAGTTACATGAACATCACGGGCGTCATTTAAGAGTCGGTTTCCTTCTTTACACAACACAGGCAAACACATCGACGTGAGTGAAGTAAAAAGTGACGTTGTCACTGAACAATACAAAGTGAGGGAAGTGGAAGACGATCTGTTTCAGGATGTCAGCAGTTAATCCCACAGATCTTCTTTTTTTTTGTTCACTACAGCAGCCAGATGTTTCCTCTTGGTAACTAGCTGACGCCAACAGTAACTGACGGCTCCACAGTTAGCTGATCAGTCACTCACTGGCTGTGTGGACAGGGAGGGACGTTTCTGACTGATGAACTCTGGAGATAAATCAAACGGACACTCAACACGTGGCACTCACTTGTTTGTTTCTGTCTTTCAGGTCTTTAGAATTGATGTGCTGATGAACGGCAGACAACACTCTGTTGAGAAACGCTACAGTGAATTCCACGCTTTGCATAAACTGGTGAGATTCGGTTCAAACATGTCGTGGTGCTGAGTCCTTTTTTTTTTTTATTAGTTCAAGTCTACGGCATTTCAAAGGGGAAAATCCTAACCACTACAAACTTTAATGTTCAATTGTAATTTAAAGCAGTTTATCAAATGAAAATGTCCAACACTTCAATATAGAGTCCATCATCTTCAATATGAAACTCAGGTTTTCTCATATTATTTTAAAACACATCTATTTGGCTGTTTGAAGATGAAACTCTTTGGGTTTCCTCTTCAATGTCTGAGACTAGAGATTGATAAAAAAAAACAATACACACATTCAAACAGCAATTAATTGAGGCATTACTTGTTTAAATGGCTGCATGAAATTGATAAAAC